CGACCATACATGAAACCGAGGCCATCGCCGCAGTCCCCTCCATGCATCAGGCCTTCGAGGACCAGTTCTCGGGAGGTGCCCCCGTGAACGGTGGTCCACGCGCCAAGGGCCCTTTCCGAAGGGACTCCGCTCCACAGGACAAGGCGCGCCAAAACCAAAAGCACAGGGAGTCCAAGAAAGACGCTCGCCGCCAGGAGCTCGATAGTCAGCTCCAGGACACCTTCAAGGCCCTCTTCCACGGCAACTTTAAAGCCGTCACCATCCTCGAACCCTGCAAAAGCCTAGGCAGGTATGGATCGGGCGTCGGAAAGAGGTCCCTGGCTGCCACCTTCGGCGTCAGTCTTCAAGCGGTTGACAAGGTCTTGGCGGGTTCAGGGCAACTCGGCGCCACCTACGACCTCAGCAACGTAGGTGCAGACGAGCCCACTGCAGACAAGTACCAGACCGTGTGGTTCCCTGAGGACCAGCCCATCACGATGGCAGATGCGTTCCAGAAGTCGGTGGATTTCAAGGCCCTAGGAGTCGTCAGGCACGGCAAGTCAGGCTTATTGGGGATCCGTGTTGCACGAGGGTCAGACGCCGCCAAGGCTGCTGCCGTCAGCATCCGTGGCTGCGAAGCCACCCTCGCCAAGACGCGCTACCGCATCACTGGCATTGCGGCACGCCACGCCACGCTGACCCAGCTCGCTAAGACTCTCACGGGCCCGTCCGTTAAATGGGACTGTGAGGTCTACCACACCGCCTGGGACCCAGCCACTTCGGCTCAGTTTGCCTTAGTGCGCGCCCATCGTCCCCCACTCACATATACGGTACAGGTCGCAGGGTGCCCCATCCCGTGGAGCATCACCGAGGCCCCGCTGGCTGAGGTGGTGCCGAAGAGGGACAACGTTACCATTGTCACCCCTACCACTATCACAGAGCCTGTGACGCCGCCAGCCCGTGGTGGCGGCTTCAGCCCCGCCACTGGCACACTCCTCACCAAAGCGGCCCAGAGCCCTTACCTCCACGACCTCATGACTGCCACGCCCAAAGGCAAGGGCGTCGCACCGCTCCTGATCCCCAAGGAGGAGCCTTTAGCCAAGCGCCACCGATCCTCCAGTGGGAAACGCGACGCCGCGCCGCACGCAAGATCACACGGCGCCCCAGGCCGCAGCTCCTCTGCACCCCCGCACGGCACGGATGGAGCTGCCGAGCAGACGGCCGTCCAAGGATCAGGTGGTCATGACCCGCAGCTTGGCACGGTGGCGGCTGAAGGTGGGGGCCACACGGAAGGGGACGTTGCCACAGCCGCCGAGGTACCAGGCGACGCTGACGACGTCGAGATCCTCTCATCAGGTGATGAATACAGCGTGGCATCTCACGAACTCAACACCTTCGGCGAACGCTTCGCAACGGCCCCTAAACTGCCAGATGCCGCCACGACCCGCATCCAACACATGGAACAACAGCACGAGCTGCTTGCCAACACGGTGGATAACATGCAGGTTCAGCTTGCGGGCGTTCTCTCATCCCAGGCCACACTCACGGAGCACGTTTCAGGTTTGGAACGAGGGCTTGCCACCGTCGTCACCCAGCAACAGACGGCAACCACCGAAGCTGCTGCACTGCGTGGCGACATCCAGGCCCTCCTCGGGCACCTCACGGGGGGCACCATCCACCTGCCACAGGTGGCCACTCTCGAAACAAAAAAGGAGGAAGCTGCATCAGTTGCCGATCCCGTGGCTGTCTGCGGGTGGATCGACCAGCCAGGCCAGGTCACCCCAGGGACGGGGCCCCCAGGGGCTGACAAAGGCAAAGACAAGGGTCGGGTCACTCAGGAACCCTATTGAAGGTGCCTCAGAGAGCCTGCCTCAGCCCTCCGAGGAAGCGCCTTCAGAGGCATCTCTTCTCTCTTCGCGTCGTATCTCTTTCTTGTCATATCATGTCAGTTTTGGCAGCAGCACGTGCAAGCTATCTGGTGTAGGGACACCCGTCATCTTGCAGGGGGCGTGATTGTTGCAATGTACATGAGCATGCAGGGGTATCTGAGGATGCGTGCTGACATGCAGCTTTTGGCTCATCGCTCGCGCCGCCCGCCAGGCCTCGCCATCATGTGGCGCCTTGCCTGCAGCCTGGCCCTCCCCTCGCTCGCTGGAGCACACCCGTCTTCAGGCGGTGCGCCCCAGCATGGAGGTGAGGTTTTCCTGCGACACGCTGAACGTGGGACTCTTTTCTACCTTTACGATGACAGCATCTACAAGTACGATCACTGCACCATTTTGGACCCGATCGTGAACAGCACCGTAGCCGCGGGTCCGTGCGGCAACGGACCGCTGGGCGCCATCGTGAGCGCATGCACGCCCTTGTCAACTACGACACATGCATCGAAATCCACCCCCAGCGTGGCCTCGACTGCGGTGCAGCAGATCCTTGACGGGGACGTTGATATAGGCCAGGCACGCAGTGGCGGCTTCAGCCCCGCTGTCGTGCCCCGCTATTGCCCCACGGGTCTCGCCGCCCC